TTCTGTCTTTCTCTTTTACATCTGTGAACCATTCTTCTCTTCCTCCTCTCCCATTTTTTGACTTTGATGTTCTGCCCTCTGCGAAACCCGAAGTCAAGAAAAGGGCTAATGATAACTACCATGAAGTCTGTCATTTAACGTAAATAAATGATAAGCTCGCATATAACTGAGCAATCGAAATATGATATTACAGCGAATACGAATCATTTCTGGCGCTTTTCCCAAGCTCTTTAGTCCACCTGTGTTTGTCCAGTTAGACGTCAGGAGGTCATTTTTTGCTTATTTAGTGATATAAAGAACAAACCTCAATTCTACTTATTCTTTGTTAGATAGGTGATGCAAAGCAAATTTCTACTAAAATAATTCAATCATATCTTTCTTCAAATTCGGGTAATTAGTTTCAAATATTTCCTTAATTACTTAAGACCATTTTTTCATTAAATGACAATTAAAATTTTAAATATTTAGGAAAATATGCAAAAGGTAACACTTGGTTTGGTTTCACTGTGCATATGATATCAACAAAGACAAACATGATCCGTACAGTTCAATATTATAAGATATAAATACAAAGTTGCATATTTGTTTAAAACGCAAATTTAATTTTCTTACTCATTATAGCAGGCACAGTGCCAAATGAGCAATAAGACTGCATGTCTGAGTGAAACCTTATGACGTTGCGCAATGAGCCTTTATGTAGCGAAATCGGCAGTGGAAACATCAGCATTTGGCGTTATCGTCCCACAACCACGCTTTATTACCACCAGAAACAAAATATATGGCCGTCTGGGCGGAAGAGACAGCATCACTGTGAAGCCGTCTTCCACCTACGACATAGCTAAACACTTTGATCCCAACCTTGGCACACCATCTATGTGTGTGTCTCGTGGGGATTAAGGAAGGGGGGGGGGTGGTTCGTGTCTATGCAGATTAACATGGCGCTTTAATGTCGCCTAGGTGAAACCTTTGCGTAAATAATTTGATTTCCACCTCGTGTACTTAACCATCAAAGGACTGAAGCGTTTTTTAGAACGTGAACACGGTGTTATTATCGATGTATGACTTGGCTAGAGTTGGCCAGTCAGCAACAAATGTCATTTAATTAATAAGTTTCGCGTAGTAGTGGAACAAACTGTAATTATTCAAATGTATGCCTATGCATATTAAAATCGGTGTAGATGTTTTCATGATAAATTTTTTTGAAATGATAAATTAAAGCCCTTTTAATCTAGTTTTGTTTTGCAGCATAAGGAATACCATTTTAAGAAAAAATTGTTCAAAATTTGACACGAAAAATTACTAAGCTTCAAGTCAATTTTGATATAATTTATCTGATTATTTCTAATTCATACCAGTTGAACTTATTGCAAAAATTTTGAAAATTTATTTCGCATAAAAGATATATCTTGACCATGATTTCGTCATTCTTAATAAATTATTCATATTTGCTCTCATCAATTACGTGAATATGCACCTCCAAATTAAGATATTTTTCGATAATTTCAATTAATGGCTTTTTAAAAATTGAATGTTTTAGGGTATTAAGTGATTGTTAAGTTTTTAAAATTGTTGAAAATTAAAATGTACAATTTGTCAGTTATTCAATGCTACTGTGCAACTTCACATTTAATTTGGACATTTCCTGTAAATAATAATTATCGCTAAAATTCCAATACACCACGTGTTTTATTTCGAGGATAAAATACCTTTCATGACTGGAGATAAGGTATGAATTTATATTTCCAAATATTAATTTCTTTGTTGAGTCAGACGCATTCTACTCTACTTATAGTTAAAAAAGTAGTTAATGCTAATTATGCCAATTAAGTTGTCATTTGTACGTATAATAATATACAGGCGTACTTAAGAGGCTATTTTTTAAAACTGATATCAAAGCCATAATGCGAAAGTTAAAAGTATCGCACTATTAACTTCGATGATACGTAACACAAAGAAGATAAAGAGATGTCGAAATCTATGACGCAGATATAAAGTGAAAAAATGAGACAGTTTAGACCAAAGGTGGGAACTTTGACAGATGGCACTAATCCCCAAGAGACTTAAGCGAGACTTTAGTAATGGCTGAACAAACAAGTTCACTACAGTAATTGCCAAATTGCGTGACCAAAATTTGGCATATATATAAGCAGATCACTCAAGTTAGGCATGGAAAGGGGGTTACCAATCGAATTGGTGGATAGGACATGGGTTTTTTCAAAGCGCGCTCTATTATAAAGCAATGAGCACAAAAATTTCGAAAATATGCGTATTTGTGAACATGGACCATTTTGGAACAAGGTAATCTTTGACACTTCTTTAAATCAGTCCAAATGAATTTGATCCAAACAAACTGTAAACAACTTCTGTAGTGCTCCAATGACAAATCAATGAACAGCTTTCCCTGGCATTCTTTTTCGGTTTAAGTGGAACTTGTTCTAATTGTCATCTGTTAAAACAATTTTAAATGAAAAGTCTGTTTTTACCGCACTACTCTGAAATTACTCTAAACGGTTGACAAAAAGAGAAATGTCACTAAATCCTCTGGTGTAAATAATTGTCTCTGTGAGACTTTTCTTCACATAGAGTGCTGCATCGACGAAGTAGGACAAATGTCATAATAAATTTTTTTCCCAATTTGACTTGCCAATATCCTTTTTAGCCCAAAATTAACTACCGTTTGCTTCAAACTCTACCTACTGGAAGTTAGTATTTTTTCTAGCGGACGAAAGAGTATATAGAGAGGGGTGAACAGTCATTAGCCATTAGAAGATAAGCATTTTATACTTAAAGCTAACTAATTAAATCAAATGTTCTGTTAAACTTGTTTGATACTGTCTTTTGAGAGAAAATAATAACTGACGATTATCTCTTAAGTATGGAAATCGGTAAAGAAAAGATCGCAGCATTTGGGGATTATAACTTTTATAAGCTTCCTCTTTATTTTAAAGCAAAATTTTCTCAAGATACAAATCTGTAATAAAAGTGCTCAACTTATAATTAAAATCCAATAAAGAAACAGAACGACCAATAAATCGATTATGTCGCGCATGTAGGATAGATCAGAAGAGCAAAATAAGATAGTGAGATTTCATGCATGTGTGAATAATCGATATTTTTCTCAACTTTGTGGGATTTCACAATACCTGTTCTCTATCTTAATCGACAGTCTTCTTCTAATTTGATTAGAGTTAAAAGCAACAACAGTTGTACTTTGAACCACATTCAAGTGAACTGTTTCCCACAACAGAGCTTGGCAGACAATTAATTGGAGGAATCTGCGGACGCCTTGCCCAAAGAAAATGAGGAATGGCAATGATTAAAATGAAACGTAAAGATAGAAATGGAATGAATATTTACTGTATTTATCATTTTCTTTAAGCCAACTTGCTCCATACCCTTCACAATGAACTTTCTTTTGTTTCATTGATTTATTGCCCAGTTACACTCATTAAATCAACTTAGAAAGAAGATGGTTGTCATGATTACGAGATTAGTTAAATATCTTAGTTGACAAAATTCTAATTTATGAAAAGTTAGCTTTCGTTCAAACAAAGTCACGGTTGAGTTAAATCGAGCATTGTGTGACCTATCTACCATGACGTTAGCACAGCAAAGGTTATTGCAAGTTTTCAGGCCCTAAAACGTGGACCAAACAGAACACCCAACCAGAATAGACAAGATAAGCCAAACATGCTGGCTATAATAACTACCTGTCACCATTTTTTGTAAGTCAATCAGGTCTTCTCAAATGTTGAAGAAGGTAATAACACATTCTACTAAAAGCAGATGAATATTTACTACTAGAATAAAATGTACCATTACTTTGGAATTTCCCATTTTTCTATCTCCTTAGGTTTTGAAACCTTAAAGTGGTGAATAACTTACACGCGCACACACACACACACTATATATATAAGTATATGGTTTAATTAGTTCCAGGTTGGTATTCACGAGCGCCGTGCTACTTACTGGCCAATCAGCAGTGCGTTTCCATACACAGCGTCCTAATTGGCTATCTTCGCGTGACTAAGCCATAGAAGCGCATTAACAAAGTGGGAAAAGTATGGGTATGCTTAAACATCGCGTGCGCAAGTGCTATCGCCCCAAACCCCACAACTCGAGTCATTTACAAATACATTATTAAGCAATCCCAACTAATTGAACTATTAGGACATGACCCTGTTAGACTTTCGATTACGATTGTGTGTGAATATAGAGATGTTACCAAACGGAAATCCAATTTAAATACGAGAATTTTAACATGAATGCATGCTAGCGTTCGGTCCATTAACTACATTTTACCCAACATACCAATATTAATTTGTTAGAACGGGATGAACAGGGTGTTCAAATTTAAGTAATCAAGCTATAAAATATGGGGAGGGGGGATGCGATAGGCTTACTTCCACGTGGTGCACCCTGGGCAACGTATACTCATACGGAAGAAAAGTCTATTATCCGGCAATTGACTTCTGACTTCAAACTACCATCACTCCACTGTATGCCATATTCGACTACTTCACAGTACTCACCTTACCTTACCCTTTTCTCTACCTTTGTATCTATCTCTTTTACATCTTTGAAACACTCTTCTCTTCCCCCTCTCCACTTTTGTGGCTTTGATGTTCCTCCTCCCCTCTGTGAAACCCGAAGTCAACTAAATGATTAGTGATAACTAATGATAAAGACTGTCATTTGATATAAATAAATAAATAAAATGAAAAATATCTGAGTTTAACTTCCAAGTTTTTATTTAACAGAATGCCAAGTAATGAAGATAAGTTGGGAGGATCGTCTTTTGCCTGTGCGTGCGCAGATGGCTTTGGGCAATTAGATAAGAGAGGGGAAATGAATTCGGGAGAAGAGATAGAATGGACACGTGAACACACGATTTAAAACGAGATTATTCACTCAGACGAGAAAAAAATAAATGTCGAGCTTGTAAAATATATCAACAGATCCGAATTATCAATTTTGAGTATTTTTACAACGACAACATCTCACACCACAGCCATTGGAGTAGGAGCGTTATCATTGTTGCCATGACGACCATGACGGTGATTTCGCTGATGACTGTGATGGTTACCATTGATCTGGTTGGGTATGTTTCTTGCCAAATTCATAAGCTCCGAATCTTCCAGCTCTTCCTCTTCTTCATTCTCGATAGATTCACCGGGTTCAATGGCCATAAGAGTAAGATTGTCCCCATTATCCATGGAGGCCATTTTGTCAACACATCGAAGAGATAGAGTTCCGGGGGAAGCATTCGTGTTTGAATGATTGAATCCAGATGGCTCTGGAGATACGAAGTACTCTTCGAAATAGGTACAGAGGTACTCAAACTGTGGTCGACGTTCTGGAGTGGCGTCCCAGGTCTTGAGCATTATCTCATAGACGCCTTCCGGGCAATTTGCCGGCCGTGGCATTCGATAGCCCGTACTCACCTGATTCAACGTCTCCGTATTGTTCATTGAAGGATATGGAACCTGAAAAGGGATGATTAGCATATTACATAAATGCAACATGCAATGATTTGGGAATGAACTGAACGTACCTGTCCATGAGTAATGATCTCATAGATGACAATTCCAAAAGACCAGACATCTGACTTCACAGTAAATCGGCCAGAGAGAGCAGCTTCAGGAGCTGTCCATTTGATGGGTAGCTTGGTACCATTTTGAGCCACGTAGGTCTCATAGCGTTCCTCCACCACCATGCGAGCCAAACCGAAGTCAGCGATCTTTACTGCGTTGTTCTCACCCACGAGGATGTTTCGTGCAGCAAGATCACGGTGAATGTAGCGTTCACGTTCCAAGTAGGCCATGCCGTTTGCAATCTATAAAGTGGTCAAGATTTAAAACGCATATCTTTATTAAACTAATTTAAATCAAAGGTACTATTTGGGATACGTGTCGAAAATGAGATATACAGCTTCCAGTATATTATTTGCAGAGAAGAGGAGAATAGAAAATTGGGAGATCACAGGCTAGAAGCCAAGATTTCTGCATAACTCCAGCTGTGGTTAGTACCACTTTGCGCCACTAAATTCATTGTGAACTTTTGAGAGCATTTAGTACTTAGGCAGGAACTAAGGAAACTATTCAACTTCATGAGTGAAAACTTGCATTTACTTGCTCTTCATCCCAACCAATTCAAACATGTCCGATTGGAGAGGAAGGTGAACAAGAGAAACGATTTACAAATATATGTTGGTTCATGAAAATTAATGAGATTTTTACACCATTAACTTAATATTTACTTACATAAATATTAAAGTTAATTGAGAAGATTTTCAGAAATGAGCTGAAGTAAAAAATTCACAATTCAAACAATTCTGAATACATTCTTGACCCTGTGCTTTTTCCATTTCACGTCAGAGCTAAACAACATGAAGAACTACACTGTTTATAAAGCCACAGAACATTTGATAGCTGAACAATTTATGCTATTCAATCTATCCAAAATAGAAGACGAATTCGATGAAATCGGGATTTGTATTTCAATGTTCAGGACAGTTAGCTAATGGAATCACAAGATTCCTAACTGAGAGAGCTTTTCACAGCGGTAGGAATATACACCAAGAACCAGATCATCGAATTCCAAAAAAAGCGAAAATCAGAAAACGATGTTAAACCCAGTGGGTAATGGCACCAATGTTCACGGCTGAGATTTTAGTTAAACTTGAAAAAGGAGTATTATTAATTATGCTACTTGTGATTCTACGTCCAATCAACAATAGTTGTTATTAAGAATCGTTTATTGATTTTTTCCAAACTTATTGAATACCTCGCAGACTCCCTCCCCGACCCTGCTAGCTTTACTCCCTCATTGAATCATATTTACAAGTTAAATATTCGTAGCATCCAGTCCATTCTTACCAAAAATACTATTCTGTCCCAAATTCTTTCGTGTGGTGGTAGTTGGGAAGTGTACTAGTTTACTTAATTTCTTTCCAACTCAGCACTCCTGTCCTCTAACATGCAGTTTGTATTCCAAAATTATAGCAGGGGTGGATAATCTCCAGAACATTAAATTACTAAATGCCCTAATGAAAACGTCGTGATGAGATCCCGGGCTCTGGAGTTCGTCAATGTACTGCCAAGTTAATCCGAGAGAACGAACGGAGCCACAAAAACAACAAGTGTTAACGCAATTATCATTGCCATTAAGTTCAATAGCAGGGGCGTTGGCATGGATCAAATGAAATGGCGTCACAGGATGGGATTCGGCGACTTCACCCCTGACTAGATGCCACGGGATCAGATCCCATAGGTAATCGAACGAAAAATAGCTAACACTAGAACTATAACTCTCTTAGAGATTCATACCATATTCACCTATCCTTTTAATTGGATCAAAAGCAAAGATAGGCCGCAGAAAGGAAAAACAAAATGAAGTCTACGACACAATTTGTTCCATATATCCAATTTCACCAGCTAGCTGAAATATGACTCCTAATATAAGCCGCAATTGCTTATCTTCAATCACTCAATTCATTTAATTTATCTTGATCTAAATTACCCGATTGAAGTAATGGTGATCGCTTTGGTAACCCTCTTAAATTATCTCAATCACTACAAGTTTAGTAGCATTTCGGTAAAACAGATTAAAAGAAAGCCAATATACCGATTATTACCTGAGCCATCATGTCGATGAGAGGTCTAAGAGTGAGATGTCGACCAGGTCCATCACGGAGGTAATGCAGAAGACTTCCGTGGGGCATCAATTCGGTGACTATGTAGATGGGATCTTCCACACAAACAGCATAGAGCCGTACCAAGCGGGGATGGCGTGCCGCCTTCATGATACGGGCCTCCTTGAGAAATTCGTCAGTGGACATAGCACCTGGCTTGAGCATCTTGACGGCCACTTCTGTTGTTCCGTTCCAAGTTGCTGAAGGACGGAACAAAGCAACAATTAGTATTAGTTTCATTTTGAAAAATTGAAGTTTCACTTTATTTAGTTATTATTATCATCAAATATACGGGTACTACGCAGTGCTCTAAATAAAACATCCCGCAGCAGAAATCTACAAAGCCCGCATTTTTGCTTTCTAACAGCCATTTAGGAATGATGATTGCTCAGGGAATGTTAAATACTGGTAGTATAGGAACAAAAACAATCAATTAAATAGTAGCTTTGGTACCGACTGACCTTGAAGTTTTCAAAGCCTAAATATTTGAATAGTGTAAAACTAAAGCCCAACTACGGAAGGTCAAATTAAGGACCCTTACACAAGTAGGAGTCATTGTAGAGAATATAGTTTTAACATCAAGTATGGACTTGCTCACAGATTAATGGAAATTGGACAAAAGGAGAAATAAAATTTGTTTCTCTTCGCAATATCCTCAGCAATAATCTGCAGCAAGAATGCAAATCAATTCGTACTTACCCAAATTCTAATATCAAAGATAAAGCCTAAGTAAATTTTAAGTTATCAATTTTGGGGCAACGAAATATTCTTCCCAAAATGAAAATAATGTTCGCACCAAATATGATAAATAGCCCAACTCGTTTGGCAAGCTTTGCCAAATTAACTGTTCTTTTATCAAAACCCAGACCGCCAGACCATTGCACCAACCGCACAGAGCCGTCATGGTCAAATAATCCTAGACAACTCTGAAGTGGCTGAAATTCTTTTAAATATTGCAAAAAAGGGAAAATGTCTATGTAAGCACAAAGCCCCCATGGTTCCAGGCTTAATTTATTGACGCCAATTGGGTGACTATTTTTTCTCACAAACTTGGTGCAACACAGATGTCAGGAAAAATATCGCGTCTGATGTAATCACCTTGTGCTTGACATTCAGACGAATAAAGAGCCTGAAATATACATTTCCCTTAACTACCCCCCAATCACCACCCGTTCTCTCAATGGATTGTGTTAGTCCAAGTAGCGGCATCTGACGGAGCGTCGTCATTTCCGACTATCTCTTTTCTAACTCGCTGCGTCATTGGAAAAGCGACTGAAAAGGCAGAAATGTCACTATTCACTCAATGAATTCAACGAAGGCGGCAAGTAAAAAACCAAAAGTTTTATATAATTAACTATCAGAAGTCTTGAGAAATGATCGGATAAATTAATGGTCTTCATAACATTCACTTAATGTAATTAATTAGAAGGCTCCTAAGAGCAAATAATGATAAATCAATGAGAATTATAACCCTAAACAATATGTAAACGAACAAGCTAGAATAAATTACTTGATTGTAAATGAACTCTAACGAGCCCAAGTGGTGAACCAATTTGATCAGAAATACGATTGGTTACGGGGAAGTAACGTGATAGTTACGCAAATTTTGGCATCCAATCAAATGAAGCGCATATATCTATGGGGTAGTTCAACTGTTTAGATTTGAAAAAAAAGAATTCAGTATAAATTGATACACGTAATTACTATTTTCAATCTTAGAAACAATTGACCGATCGAAAGGCTAAAGATTCTAACTACCTGCACGCTATCAATTAGTGCAAGTAAAAGGATCGGGATTAGGGTGGTTAAATTATCCTCTCTTGTCTTCATCCGAAAGCTTTGGGCTGTCTGCTAAAAAAACAAGAAATACGGGCATAAAGCCGTGAATGCAACTACTCGTGAGGAGGGGGTGGGGGGGGGGGGGGGGGGGGGGGGGGGGGGAGGGAAGTGGTGAAAGCTATGTGCACTTTTTGATATGAAGTCACTGCGGTGGGCGTCAGTTGTCGTTGCGCCGTCTGGAGTTGTGCACTGTGGATAGTGAAATTGGCATTTCGCCATTCCATTCTCCAAAAAGTGGGCTAGACCATATTTTCTCACGTGAACGCCTTATAGCAACACCTCCGTTTTTATGACATACTTGAAATGGTAATAACTGTCGTATAAGCAAAGGGGATGTAGAAAATAGTTAAGAGGTAAGAAAATTACGCCCAAAATCCGTTCTTGTCTTTCAAGTGAGAAGATTCCATTTAGAAATCAGGGTATGATAAGAGGCGGTAGTATAGTCATGGCAAGTTTTATGATTACTAAGACGATATTCGTGTTTTTTGGGGGTGCGCGATAGACTTACCTCCACGTGGTGCACCCTGGGCAACGTATACACATACGGCAAAAAAGTCTATAACACGGCAGTTGACTTCTCACTTTAAACTACCATCACCCCACTGTATGTCATATTCGACTCCTTCACAGTACTCACCTCACCTTTTTTCTATCATTGTGTCTGCCTGTCTCTTTTACATCTGTGAACCACTCTTCTGTTCCCCCTCCCCTCTCGACTTTTTTCAATTTGATGTACCTATCTCTCTGTGAAGCATGAAGTCAACTAAAAGACTAATGATAACCATCAAGACGCCTGCCATTTGATATAATAATAATAATAATATATTCGTGTTTTTTAGGGAAAAGTATTTTAAAAGAAGGGGAAAATGTCTTGCAATATGTTGATACAACTAATAAATTACAACTATTAAATATTATTTACAAAAATTCAGAGCGTAATGGAGTGATCCGTCACCTGAATTACTGAGCAAATTCTTGTACGCGGTATCAAGTGCTAATTGTCCAGCTACTTTAGTGTTCAAGGTTGAAAAGCGGCATTATCTTACGTGGTTATAACGATGCGGCGTTGAAATAGCTACAGCCTAGCGAGAAGCGTTCAGTCAAGATGAAATATTTGAACGCAAAAATCTGAAATTTATTTTACTTTCTACTCCTCAAACTAGACAACCTAGCTATCCACTTAACTAACGACAGCGACATACTTTGCCGCAATGAAGACGATATACTGGCTGTAAGTAGAGTGCGTTTGAGAGATATAATGGCGATGACAGATATTCCAATGCACGCGCCTTGCACGCAACCGG